CCGGCAAGGAGGGGACATTGTGGGGGTCGTTTGGGGGGAACGTTGTGGAGTCACCGCTCCCGTCAGGCCCGGCCATGCGCGAGAGGTGTGTGGGGACAGCTAATGCCACCGCAGCCCCCACGCACTTGGTTGTGGAGCAGCTTGTCTGCAGCCCCCGCAGCTCCATGCTGCCAACCTGCTGTCCCCTGTCCCCTCGGTGTCCCTGGGTGTGCCAACCCACTGTGCCACCAGCTCTTGAGAAGAGCCATGGCAGCGGCACCACTTTGTCACCTATGGCCAAGGTGGCTCCAAGTGCCTCTGCTTGCTGTGAGGCAGCCAGAGCAGGGGGAGCCCCGCTTCACGTTCCCTTTGGCTGGGTCTGAGGTGGAGGTGCAGATCCTCAAGGGAGGTTTATACTCTGTGATGGGGAGGTTCTCCTTCTCCATATGGCCTTAAGGTTCACTTGGGCATCGGAGGGGTGGAGGTGATGAAGTTTCTGGAGCCATGTTTTAGGTCCATGTACTGGACGACAGACAGAGGAGGAGCAGGTGTAGGAGAGGTGCAGGTGCTGCACTGATCAGACAAGGCATGCATACTGCTTATCTGTCTGCGGCTCACTGTCACAGAAATTGACTTTCTCTCTTGTTTCTCCTGTTTTCCAACAGGGAAAGGAAACTACTGGACCTTAGATCCCAACTGTGAGAAGATGTTTGACAATGGGAACTTCCGTCGCAAACGCAAGCGGCGCTCAGAGCCCAATGCCCCTGCGACCGCATCTGCGGCCTCCTCTCTGGGAGGCCTGAAGGCTGAGGAAGAGCGACCCATCCCAGCTGCAGGAAAACCGTGTGGAAACAGCCCGCCTCCGGAGCTGGACCCCTCACCTTCTACCAGGGACCATCCAAAAAGCTCCTCTCCCTCCAGTATCATTTCATCCACCCCTAGCTGCCTCAGCACCTTCTTCAGCGGCATGAGCTCCCTGAGCAGCGGAGGCAGCCGGCTGACAGGGGGTCTCAGCAGTGACCTGCATCACAGGAACTTCTCTGCTGGCCAGCTGAGCAGTGGCACTTTCACTCCTTCCAGCAGCTCTTCTCAGGAGGTGCCTTCACCAGACCAGCTGCAGCGAGTTGCGGGACCTTCCCCCGCCTACTACAGCTCCTTCCATCCCAGCAGCAGCAGCCAGGGAGCCCAGTACAACCACTACTACAACTTCACGGTTAACAGCCTCATCTACACTCGGGATGGAACGGAGGTGTAAGACGCTGGGGCAGTTGGCCAGCAAGTGCTGCAAAGGGAATGGGAGTTGCAGGTGTCTTTGGCAGCACGGAGGACCATATGCTTTTGCAAACAGCATTTCAATGTGGACACTTCCCAGGAGTTCTTCCAGGAAGACAGATCTTCTCACCTTTCAAAATAAGACCGCTCTTTAAATACCAGCAGAAGGCAGATGCAAAGTCTTTTCCCCGTCCTGGAAAATGTTAGGTGGTTTAGATGGCTTACCATCCAAACTCCACAGACGAAAGTGAACTGAATTCATGTTTTCAGAGGTTTCTAGTCCTGAATGTAGAATAAGAAGTTTAAAAACTATAACTGTATTGGTAAGAGCCAATTGTAGACATCCAGTGAGTTTTAGAAGAGAACAGGAAACAAAAAAATGAAGAGATTTCTTATGAAGTGCCTTGTACAATGTATTAAAAAAACTCTTCTGCCAGCAGTTGCCTTTGCAAGCCCTTGCTTTCTGCCCTGATGCTGCAATATGCAATGCACAGGGGAGATACTCTGGGTTAAACACCCACCCAAAACCTCCTCGAAACCCACGGAGGTTGGCTCTGCTCTTCCTGTGTACGGCATATTGTACAGCCAGGGCCATGGTTTGTAAAACAATCTTTTTTCCCTGAGCTTAGTACCAAAGATAACTCTAGCCATGCAGCTTTAGCACGAGAATAAACACCGGGGTATTTTTATACATATTTGTACGTAATGTAACTCTTCTGTACATATGTTTCTATGTGGTTTTATATTTGTAAATTATGCTCTGGAGCTGTACTTATTTATAATGTGTTTTGAACTTTGTTAAAGTTTTATTTTACTTTGTTTCCCCTTCTTTTTTGTTGTTTTATTGGTTTTGATTTTTTTGTTGTTGTTGTTGTTGGGTTTGTTTTTTTGTTCGTTAGTGTATTAATGAAACTTTTCAGGCTGAACAGCTGATGGGAATAAAATATTAACAATTGCTAGATTTTTGCCTGATTGTTCCTCAGTATGTTTGAGGTATTTTAAAACTCTGTGGGAGACAGGTTTTCCTTTCACGTGGTTTGGAATAAAAGGTGCAAAGATTTATGAACAATTTCATCTGTGCTCTAAGAGAAAAAAACCTGCTCTGGGCGCAAAGGAGATGCATCTGAGACAATTTTCAGCCTCTGATAGTGTCACTGTGCAGAATGGGCACTCAGCTTTTTTTGTTTATTTGTTTTCGTCTGGATTACAACTGTCCTTTTTCAGGCTGATTTAGTAAAAATAATAAAAGCTTGCAAAAGTAAAAGAAGCGGGGCTGGTTCCAGCGTGGTGCTCGCTAGCAGGAGGGACGAAGTCTGAGCTTGACTGTTGCCTCCATCCGTTTTGCAAATCAGTTTTTCCAATAGGATTGCACCTGCTTAAAATGACAGGCTGGTTGAGAAGTTGGACCTGTCAGCTAGCGGGGTGTCTGCTGAGAATCCTTCTGGATTCATGCTGCTGGGAAAGGAGACTCCATCCTACAGCAGCCATTATGCAAAACCATCAACTCCCAATTCTTGCCGTTTGCATAAGCTGTTTGTTGGGTGCTGTGTTCGGCCTAAATATAAATGTCTCCATAGGGCTTAAATAGAAATGTCTCCATGAGGAATGTAGCATCAATAATGAAGTTAAGCATGAAATTGCAGCTATTTAGCATATATTTATGATGTAAGGCCATCCCTGCAGGCTATTCAGAAAATAAAATAGTTGGCAGGGCGATGCAGTGCCTTTTCACTGGCTACCTGCATAACGTACAGGGCAGTGATGATGCAAGACAAACCACTGGCCCCATCCAAAATATAATGAAGCCATGACGAAATGTCAGATGACTTCCACGTGCTTGGGATCCAGACCAAGTACTTTCCCCAGCACTGGCCAGCAGCCATTTGTGCAATAGCTGAGACCAGTGGGCGGGTGGCAACTCCTGCTTCATCCCCCTCTCGCTCACCCCTTCCCAGCACAGATACCATCTTCCTGGCTGTAGGGGTAATTCCTTCATGTCTTGATTTTTAATTGCGTTTCAGGTGATGCCGTGGTAGTGATAATGGGAGGGAACGAGCAGATTGCCATTAGCACAAAGCCAAGGTGGTCAGTCTTGTCATGTTCCAGTTCAGTCACACCAAGTGTGGAATAGCTTTATTTGGATTTTGGACTGCTGAGTTTGATCTAAAAGCAGTGGAGAGATTCTCAACACCTTCAGAAGATTCAGAGTCCTTAGTAAGCCAGGAACTGCTTACTCACGTATCTGGCCATTGCACACCTCTGCTCCATCTGCCTGTTGTCAGACCTTAGCAAGCCATGGGCCAATGTGGAATACTTGCCTGTGTCCAGCTCATGTTCCTCCACCCAGATTTGTTTCAGGATTTACCATCTGCCACTTCTGTCAGCTGTGTGTTTCTGCAGACAGTACTCATAAGCATTTTCTCCTGAAGATCCCATATCAGTGGCAAAATTGTGTTGCTGTGTGCTCTGCCTCTGGCAGTATGTCCTCCACAAATATCCCGTGGCTCAACTGATCTTCTCATGCCACATCTGTTGGGTAATGGCATAGCAGAACCTGCCAGAGCAGAGCCAGGGAAGGATTGACCCACCACAGTGCTCCAGTCCTGCTTCTGAGGGATGGTGGTGGGCTCTAGGGAGGTTTTGGTGGGTCTAACTGTCCCCAGTGCACCTTTCCTGCCAGTAGCACCAAATCCCACTCCTTCCAGGGAAAGTGAGCCCTTAGCTGGCACCAGGGACTGTGGCCCCTCCTGCGGACACACCACCCCAAAGGCTGGTGTGTGCTCATAATAAAGCAACCTGCCCAAGGGACACTTGAGAGTAGATTTCAGCAAATAGACACCCTGTCTGCAGAGAGGAGCCAAGTGAATGAGCTAATGGCAACCTTTTAGGTTTCCTTTTGTCATTAAAAGAAACTCTTCTTTTAGCAAATCTTGGGAGAGGGAGGGCAAGAGGATTGAGTTTAATGAAAGGCACTTAAAAGCAGCAGGGCTATTGTCATGGGCTTTGGGGATTTACTGTGATTCCCCCATTGAAGGAGTGGGAAGACAAAGGCAATTAGCCTGCTGGTCCCACCCTGAGAGTCCCCACTCCCCTCTAAATGCCAAGGCCATGCCTGGGATGGGCAGTTCTCCATGACAATGAGCCTCTTCCCAGCCTGGGTCAGGTGATAGCCCAGCAGCCCAGGGCATAGCTGGCTCCCAGGGATGTACGCAGAGAAATGTCAATGAAACTCAAACTTCAGGCCTCTGTCCTCTGCTCTGGCAGCCATAGGAATCACCCTGTAAAATGACTTCTTCTGGCTTTGAGGGAGCAGTGATCTCATGGGACATAGTCGGGAGCCCACAGATCCTGTCTGCTTGATGCTAAAGCTAAGCATTGCAGGGAGTCTCATCTTTGCTTGGTTTATCCACTCTTTCAAGGCATCTCGAAAGATGCAACATCAAGTGGGCAAGACTAATGCAGCGCAGCCCTGTTTGATGTGAAACCATGGTCGTGCTGATGACTGCAAGCATAACCACCTGGTACCTCTGCCCTGCGCTGCCCATACCTTCCAACACTCCCAGCCAGGGACTGTGGTTCTTCCAGCTGAGGATTGTACACACAACTACTGAAAAAGCCAGTCCCTGCCTGAAAAGGAGCGCAGTCCAATGGCATTTCAAGAGATGTGTTGGATCAGTAACGCAGATGCTTGCTGGCTCCTACGTGTGGCACTTCTCCAGCATGGGGTCGTTTAACTTTGCTCAGCGCTGGCCTTATTGACGTGCCAGCAAAGGTTCAGGCAGGTACCCACTGCAGGTCTGCACTTGAGCTACTCCACAGTACAAAGGCTTTGCCAGTACAGCTGGATCATCTCAGTCCCCTAGAGGAGACCCAGCTCCCATCAACAAAGGAAACTCTTGTGCCAGTGAAGTTAAACCCCCCACCCCCAGCAATGCCGAGTGTATTGCGAGGTGGTGGGAGGGGATTCAAGAGGCAGAACACAGCGCATCCGCGCTGGGTTTCATCGCCCGCCAACTCTTTTAGAAAGAGGGCTTCAGTTACTGCCACTGGCCATGGACTGTGGTTTGCATCTCCTCTGAAGGAGGAGGCTTTTGATTTGTGTTGTCACTCACCAAGTCCATGAAAGTTGGCCACAGTACATTGTGCCTGTACAGAAGGTTTTATTGCCTTTGTTACGCTGATTGAGGGTGATTTTTCCCTGGAATCTTTAGGAATATTTCAAAAGAAATAGTAGGATTCAAAAAAACTACTCTATGGATATCCTGCCCTTACCCTCGCTGCATTTCTAGCAACAGGAAATCTTCACGAAACTTCTTGAGAAAAGGTCCCACCAGCCCTACAGGTTTCACCTGACTTTGAATGTGATGTACCTGAATCCTGCCTTGCTCGTTCATGGGAGATGGTCCTGTTGGTCTCATTCTGATAGCACACAAAATATGAGGGACAAAGTCTCATTTTGTAGCTTGACCCAAGAAAGGCAAGATGAGAATCAGGCCTGGCTGATGGTACATGGATGGCTGATGGCTCAGCTAGAAATATCTGTGCCAGATGGAGACTGCAATTGTTGGGAAATTGTTTTTTCTCCTTAGGCTTTGGCAAAAAAAAAGAGATTAGTTTTATTGTCCTGTTAGCAAATCTCTCCAAAACAGATTTTTGTTCCTGATTATTTTTTCTCTCAGATTGTTGAGAGAAGAAAAACATACATTTACCTTTTCTTTTTCCTTCTTTTGGAAGAAACCTCCATCAAGCTGAACTCCCCCCTACCACTTTTTCTGTTAAAAAGAAGGTTGATGGAATGTTTTTGACCAAATTACTGAGCGCAATATTCACCTGGGTAAGGTGACGAGAATTTGCCCCTCAAGGAATAACTGAAGTGTAATGTAAGACATCAAAGGTGTTATTTTTTTTTTACCTTATACCTGAGCTATCTCTGAATCATATCAAATAATCTTCTCGTTTCATAACACCATACAATGCAGGCTA